GTAAGTAGCCATTGCAAACTCATCTCGAGATAAACAAACGATGTATAATTCTGATCCACAGTCAGTCAGAAACAGGCTCTGGTCTCCGAACTGAAGAATAGAAAAAGGAAAAGTGAGAATCCGGATCAGTTTCTAGGAACCTAGTTTGTGTTATTGTTAATATTATTTGTTGCACTTATTCAGTACTGTATTGGTTTATTAATATTCAGAATAAACTGTTAATTATTTAAATGTAATTAACATATTCTCCTAACCCCAAACATAACCATTGGTAATGGTAACCCTTATTTGAGCCTAATATGTTTCAATATATGAGCCCTATTCTGGTTTTAAATTCTTGGAAAGCAAGAGCTCATTTTCCCCGCTGAAGGAAGTTCATTTCTTCATGTATCGTTTCATTGGTGGCGCTGACACAAAGACACAAGGGTCCAGAAATGGTATTGCAGGATTATAATATTGGAAAAAGGGGTGAGATTAAACTTGAAATAAGAACGAAGTGAAATAAAGCAAGTATAGTAAACCAATATATGCTCGACCGAATGAAAAATAAACACGTTCTCAGCTCGTCTCATAATCGCTCAGTCATGACTGACCCTTCGGCGTATGATTTTCAATTTAAACAGCCACAATAATTGTATTTACATTACACTATTTAGACATGTTTGAGTGTGTAACCCAAGCCATACCCTAAACCTACAATTTGTGTATTATATGATATAAAACACAGCATAAAACAGGCAGATATTTATTCAAAAAGTGCAAATATTCAAGTGTCCCTGTGCCAAAGGATAGAGTGTGTGAGGAGCAGACCCAACCTCATGTGTTCCCATTCTCTCATGAAGACCTCACACGCTTCAGGACAGCAGCACGGGGCGCTAATACTTCTGCCATTACTAGCTTTTAATCCTTAATCAGATCTTTTTCTTTTTTTTTTGTGAATAAGAATTATATTGTTTGATGTGAATTATAAATTTAAAAAAGAAAGATTGATTGAACTAAGAAACAGTCTGTGCTTGCAAAGATTACATGACTGTTTAAGGTTTTATGTTTAGCCATTTTGCTCCCACATTTAATGTAAGGTGAGCTGTATCTTGTTATTATTGAAATACATTATATAGAAAATTAATAAAAGAAAAAACTAAAAGTTTTGAGTGCATATCCAATCAAATAAATAAATTAGGGTAAAATAAACATTGCTTTATTTTATAATGCTTTAGAATCAGTAGGCTATACACACAGTACCTGTCAAAAGTTTGGAAATTTGGCATTTATTTGATCAGGAATACAGTAAAAACAGTGAAATATTAGTGAAATAGTTCTCTATGTGAATATATAGTAAAGTGTAATTTATTCCTGTGATCAAAGCTGAATTTCCAGCATCATTACTCCAGTCTCAGTGTCACATGATCCTTCAGAAATCACTCTAATATGAGGATCTGATGCTCAAGAAACATTTATGATTATCATCATCTGCGGTTATGTGGGGGAAATTGAGCGTTTAGTGCAGAAGGTGTCCAACGTCGCACGCTGAAGTTCATGATCCGAGTGTGTAGTGCACTAGAGCGTAGTGTACAAGTGTGTGTTAATGATCTGAACCGCAGAAGTATCGGTCTGACACCCAGGCCGTGTGAGAGTCTCATCATGACGTCTGTGGATGAGCTGTGGGACGGAGGGCTGTGCTTCCGGAGTTTATCCCTCTCTCCCTGAGGAATCTGAGGAATTCTAGGATTCTTCTGGAGCCGTTCAATGAGACTCACACTGTTGCTTTCTTTTTTCAGACTCTGACTTCAATATTTCTGTCCCACCTACACCTTCTCATCCCTTTACAGACTCCACCCTGAGCAAACTGAGCCCAAAGCTGTTTCTCCTTGAGCACATCGGCATCAGCCTGAAGTTCAGTTCCACAGAGCAGGCTAACTTACATCACATGAACCCTGAACTCTCTGTCGAGTAACCCAGACCTTGCTGATCGGTTATCTGTTCCAGTGGAAACACAAAGACATTCCCAGCAGAGAACGTGCACCATACTTCTACTGTCTTCTGTGGTTTAATGCTGGTTTACAATCTTAGTGCACAGCTCCACCTATTGGACGATTGTGCCATCTTTTTTTCTCTCTCTTTTTTCTCTTTCCCCTTTCTTCATGGCATACTTCAGTGGTGTGGAACTAGATGTTTTTAATTACTGTGAACTAGATTTATATTTGAAACTGAATACCATGCATTTACAAGAACGTTTACTTGTGCTGATCATCAATTACATTGTGCTCATACTATAAAGCCAGAAGAGAACTCCTGCTTATCACTGTAAAGCTGCTTTGAAGCAAACTCTGTTGTATAAAGCACTATATAACTAAACATGACTTGCCAAAGGCCAGTATGTTCCTCAGTTGTGTAGTACAGTGGTCCCAAACTCGCCTCCTGAGTTTAGCTCCGGCTCCCCTGCCTTGAAGATCCTAGTAAACCTGAAGCCCTTGATTAACGGGATGCCGTGTGTGTTTAATTAGGGTTGGAGCTGAACTCTGCAGGCCTGTGGCCCTCCAGGAGTTAGAGACCATGGTCTAGTAGTTATAACTCTAAATAGATGTGTAGTCTTTAACCTTTTTAAAACCAATTCACACTGTACCCTCAGACGCCCACCATACCCGACCCGACAGACCAGCGCTAACAGACGCTGACGGATCCAACAAAACCCAACGAGGTGTGTATCGGTGCAGTGTGGACTGGCCTTAGGTCTTCGAAGTCAATCGATTGATTAACGTGACAATCATTCAGTGCCCGGTGTGTGTGACTCTCTCCAGAGTGTGTGTGTGTGTGTGTGTGCCAACTCCTGCGAAGACTTCAGATCGCGCAAACTCTGAATCAACATGCATCAATGCTACATTTTTCTAAATGTCAATCATTTGTTAACAAACAAGTATTCATCACTTTAAAGAGCTCATTGTTTCTGCCATAAATTATTACATTGTTTAAATTAATAATTTATTTGTTAACTGTGATTTTGTATATGTGCATTTCTGAAATACCAGATCACTCTAAATTGTAAACTGTAAAGCTGCTTTGAAACGATGTATTGTGAACAAATAAATGTGATTGAATTTAATTGTTCAGGACGAAACAACATAGTCGGAACAATAGCCGTGTTTCCACTGCCGGGCCAGGGCCGAGCCGTGCTAGTGCGTGCCAGAGCCAGTCGCGTTTCCACTGTCACTTCCGGGCTTGATCGGGGCTTACTCGGGGCCAACGGCCAGGATTTCTGGCCCGTCGAATACCTTGGGCCAAAGCGGGCCAGCTCGGGCTAGAGGCGTGCTCAAGGTAAAAGGCGGAGTTTATCAGTGTTATGGAACGTTATGATCTGAAGCAAGATGCACATTTCACTTTTTTATATCACGCAAAATAATCGCTGCTCGAAATGGTGAATCGCCTGTACTGGTCTGTCGAAGATACCAAAGCTCTTCTGAGCATTTGGGCAGAAGAAAGGGTACAACATCAATTTGACGGCGTGTGAAGAAACGAAGACGTTATAAAATACATCGATGCTGAACTTTCTAAGCTAAGCATTCAGCGAGCAACGCTTCAAGTTCAGGAAAAAAAGAGCTCAGAGAAGGAACTTTTCAAATTCCATGGTTCGACTTGATGGACGGTGTGCTGGGTCACCGTCCCTCTGTTAGTGGCGACTCGCGAGACAATCGGGACACTATTGCAGCCACGGCCGGTGAGTTAATAAACATGCTATCTTCCTAACTTAAAAAATAAATAAATTCATAATACCCGCTGAAATGGGTTGGGTTGTATGACGTTTGATCCAGAAAGGCGTGTTAGGGGCGGGGTTTAGGGCAGCGCTGCGGGGCTACTGGCCCGGCAGTGGAAACGCAAGCCCGGTGCTTGAGGCCCGAGGCCACTGGCTCGGCTCGGCTCGCTGTTAGCCCTGGCCCGGCAGTGGAAACGCGCTATTGACAACATTAGCAGGCCAGGCGAGCTGGTTTGAATCTCTTTCAAATTGATTAGTACCTAATTTGTGTCTGTCTCTTTGTATTTCTGCAGAAGACTGTAGAATAAAGAAGAGTAAAGAGATGTGCTCCACCAATCACCCAGCCAACTGGGTCACGTTTGATGATGAAGCGACGACCTTCTCCTCACCCCCGAAATCCCTGCGCTCTCCTGCATCGAGCTCCGGCTCAATACCTCGGCCCAACGGCTTGAAACTTGTTCTTCCATCTTTGGGGAGTGAATCATGGATCTTCAGCTCTGCCATAGAATCTCCTTCACTGGAGTTTGGACTTAACGGGAGTTCCCAGGTGCCGAGCAATACTCCGATGTGCACTCCGGTGGGATCGACTCCCACAGGGCCGGACTTCTCCCGCTATCTGAGAGACTCAATGGGAATCACTGAAGGCTCTGGTTCCCTCAAAGCATCCCAAGATGAGCCAGGCCATTTCAACCCCTTCTGGGGGGAAGAAGAACAACATAAACGGGTGTCCTGGACCTCGTCATCAGACTCAGACTCTGGACCCAGTTTGCCCCGGTTCTTCATCCGCACCAAGGATGGTGACGAGCCGACCCAAGACCACCTTCAGTACTCCTACTCCTACATCTGCCATAAACTGGAGCAGCTGAGGACCGAGGAGAAGCAGCTGGATGGAGATGATGTGAAGGTGGACCGAGAGAGTCGACCCTCTGGCGCTGGGAAAGATAAAGTGCCGAAGAGAAGCCTGTCCTCCTTCGTCCCACAGGGGTTGTTCCTCAGTCAGAGGAGGCACGGCTGGTCCCTGATGCTGCGGATCCCAGAGAAGAAGAACCGCATGTCGTCGCGTCAGTGGGGTCCGGTGTACCTGCGGCTGTGTCCCGGGGCCCTGCTTCAGCTCTTCTACGAGCAGGGCCTGGAGAAGCCCTTCCGAGAGCTCCAGCTGCACGCCTACACCCGCCTCTCGGCCCTGAAGATGGAGAGATACGGCGAGCCACGCAGGATCGCCACAGTCAAGCTGGAGCACGTGTCCTACACCGAGAGAAAGCGCTACCACCCCAAGCTCGAGGTGACCCACGAACCGGAAGTGGAGCAACTGTTGAAGTTCGGCACCACAGAATACGGAGACTTGGAGGACTTGCTAGCCTCAATAGAAGAAGAGCTAATCCGCCTGCCAGTGCCTCATCTACAGCACAAGCACTATGAGGAGCAGGAGCTGTCGTTGCAGATCTCGGACCGGGTCTGGATGAGGCGAGATCAGGACGGGGCTACTCTTGAGTGCTCAGCCATTACTCAGATCCATTGTTTGGCCTTCCTGAACGGAGCGGTGGAGTGTTTCCTAGCACTGAATGACCTCGGGCTCCTCAGACGAGCTCCTGCATACGGGTCAGATGAGGACGAGGTGTGGATGGAGATCGCAGACTACAGTCTCCATGGGTGTGTGAGAGAGGCAGAGTTTGAGGAGAAGCGTGTGATGAGGTTCAGTCCTCCTGACGGGTGTCGAGTGGAGCTAGTGCGCTTCAGGACGGCCTCGCTATTCTACGAGGATCCGCCGCTCTCCGCTAAAGCCCTGCTGACGGTGCAGGGAGCCTGTGTGCAGCTCCAGGTCTTCCTCAATGTCCTGCTGGGTTTCCCTCATCCCACAGGAGGCTCAGAGACGGTGTGTGAGAACGTCGTGGTCCGAGTGCCGTTCCCAGGGGATTGGGTGAAGGTGCCGAACAGCATGTCTCTGCTGCGACAGAAATCCCTTAAGGCTCGCATGAACAGAAACGCGTGTCTGGGCTCGGCTCATGTGGCGGATTCTCCGTCGGTGATGCACGTGTCCGTCGGAGCCGTCAAATATGAGAACGTGCATCGAGCCCTTGTGTGGAGAATCGACCGGCTCCCGCCCAAGAATGTGGGTAAGAAAACAGAACGTTACTCCTCCTAATTGTGTCAATGGTGGATATAAATTAAATGAAATATATACATAATATACACAGTACAGTGAGGTGAAGGTTTGAGTCTCCACCTCAGACATACAGAAGGAGATCTCTGTTCATATTAAAGTATTGCACTTAAAAATGAACAAATCATGTACTTGTAATGAAGCAACTCATGTTTGGAAAATGAGCGATCAAACTTGGGTTGCTTCAATTCTACCATAAGTTTTGAATTTATACTGAATAAAGTCGGACTGAACAGGTTCAATCGGACTCAATAAACCAGTAAGATTCTCTTAGCTTTCGCACATATCCGACCCATATTGAGCCGGATGAAGAGCACAGCATCTCTTTCAGAAACCCTGGCTGAATGTCTGCAATTCATCAGAAAGGGTTAGGATTAATCCAAGGACTCAAAAAGTAACTTCAATAGCCGAATGTTAATAATAATAAAAAAACTAAAATTATGAGCACACATTGTTCACTGTACAATGACAAACTCGACCTTGTTAATAAAACTTATATTAAAAAAGCAATGCATGCCTTTAAATAGCAGTATGTAACTTTATTGGTATATAAAAAACATCAGAACATGTTAGGCACAATGTGATCATTTTATTGAACTGGTTCACTCGAAAACTATATTTATTATTTATTTATTTTTAAATTTGGATTGATGTAAAAACCAGCTTTTTTGACTTATGCTTACCTTATTATCATTAATACATACAACAAAGATTCAAGGATTTTATTGTCATTTCAAAAACATGGTACATGATCTGGAACGAAATTAGTACTGTAAGGCTGGAAGCTTACGCTGCTATTTTGAACCAATAATCGAAACAAGGATGACGTGTATAATTTAAATATTTATCTGACTACATTAAAGTTGTTGTTATTCTTTAACCTCTAATTCTTTAAAGGTCTTTCTTAGAACTGATAGGAAACCGTAGGATTTAACCTGAACGTTTAGATAACGAAAGTTATAATCACTTTAGCTTTCAACATCATCAGTGATAAAGGAAAGATTCTCAAAGCCTTTAAAGCAGGCAAAGTTAGTTACATGTTTAAATATACAGACAGTAGAATTGAACAACATACTGTATAGAAAACTTAGTTGTAACAAATAGTGTACGGTTGTACAAACAAGGCCGTAAAAGCCTTTCTCAGAGTATGAGGTTCCGCACCGGTGTGCTGGAGTGGCGGGGTTAAAGCCTTTCTCCCAGATCAACAGTTACCTTTCCTTCTTATAACCAAAAGATGAGGCAAATGGTGGTGATCAAGAGGGGGAGAAGAACATTAACATATTCTCCTCAATGCATGTTTAACCAATAGGACCTAGATTGTACATTAGGATACTTTAATATGTCTATTAAGTTCACCACCATTCATTTCAGTGTATAAGCTGTCAGATGAGACCAAACATGACATAATTACATATTAGAACACACTAGAAAATAAACAGTATGTAGTTGAAAGCATATGTCCTGTGAAGCAAATGGTACAGACGTGTCATTGAGGTGCAAATGACTCTGTCTCTCTCGAAAGAACTATCCTGTGCCTGGAGTGTCCCAACAGTCCTCAATCCGCGTATTGATGAAATCCCTTGCACTAGATAGGCATTAACATACTGTGATGATGAAGGCCATTGTGCCATGTTTAATTCACATGTATACCTTTAAAAGGCTTTTTGTAGTACTAGGGCAGTAAAGAGTTCTGCCCATATTTGCACTCCCCTACAGTACTGAGGTCCGGTTAAAACCATCTCAAGAATATAAAAGATCAGCAACTCATAAATAAACAAATAAAAATACACAATCGTACCCAAACATATACACAATAAAACTTGAAAAATTGGCAGCATAGCAATAAAAGTGCATCATAACTCAGGACAAAAAGTTCAGTTTATCAGTTCTGGTGTGTGGCAGAGTTTAATAGTCTAACAGCTTCTGGAAAGGGTTAGGGTCTTTAACCTGGTCGTCCTAGTTCTGATGCCGCGCAGCCTCCTACCTGAGGGGAGAAGGACAGGTCTGTTGGCAGGGTGGAAGGAGTCCTTCATAATGCTGGAAGCCCCACTCCTGCATCTGCTGATGTATGTGTCACTGAACACCGGGAGACTGCATCCAATAATCTTCTCTGCTGCTTAACCGTACGCTGCAGGGCCTTCCTATCTGAAACAGAGCAGTTCCTGTAACACACTATAACACACAAGGTGAGGATGCTCTCCACCACACACTTATAAAAAGATGTCAGGACTGTAGTTCCCAGGCCAGCCTGTTTAAGCCTCCTCAAAGTACAGCCGTTGGTGAGCCTTTTTTACCAGGCTGCTGCAGTTTGTTTTCCAGATGAGGTTGTCGTTTATATGTACCCCCAGGTATTTAAATATGAAGTCTGTAGGTAAGAACTACAGAGACTGCTTGCGCCGATATAAAACTGATGTGTATCCAGACTCACTGCTGAACTAAAAAAAAACGTTCTAGTGGGATCTGCTCGTTCGTCGACACAGTTCTGGTCGCCTCAGCCGAGCCTCATGTTCGCTCATTAATGGAACGGGGATTATTGTGTGTCAGTAATGAGATGTGGACCAGCCTCAGTCACTGGCGTGTAATTATGTGTGTGTGATGTGTGTGTCAGCTGTGGACCAGCCTCAGTCACTGGCGTGTAAGCTGGAGTTGTCCTCGGATCAGGTGCTACCCGAGGGATGGATGCCGTGGGTCAGTGTGGAGTGTGAGGTGTCATGTGTGGTGGCTTCTCAGACTCGAGTGAAATCACTGGGCATCGAGTGTGACGTCCAGCCTCAGAAACACCTGAGCAGCAGAGCCTACTATCACTGCCAGGTAATGTTACGGGGAACACCACTTCACTCGGTGGGAACACCACTTCACTCGGTGGGAACACCACTTCACTCGGTGGGAACACCACTTCACTCGGTGGGAACACCGCTACACTCACGGGGAACACCACTTCACTCGGTGGGAACACCGCTACACTCACGGGGAACACCACTTCACTCGGTGGGAACACCACTTCACTCGGTGGGAACACCACTTCACTCGGTGGGAACACCGCTACACTCACGGGGAACACCGCTACACTTGGTGGGAACACCGCTTCACTCACTGGGAACACCACTACACTCACGGGGAACACCGCTACACTCACGGGGAACACCCCTTCACTCACTGGGAACACCACTACACTCACTGGGAACACCACTACACTCACGGGGAACACCACTACACTCACGGGGAACACCCCTACACTCACGGGGAAAACCCCTACACTCACGGGGGACACCCCTTCACTCACTGGGAACACCACTGCACTCACGGGGAACACCGCTACACTCACGGGGAAAACCCCTACACTCACGGGGAAAACCCCTACACTCACGGGGAACACCCCTTCACTCACTGGGAACACCACTACACTCACGGGGAACACCACTACACTCACTGGGAACACCACTACACTCACTGGGAACACCACTTCACTAGATGGGAACACCACTACACTCACGGGGAACACCACTACACTCACTGGGAACACCACTACACTCACGGGGAACACCCCTTCACTCACGGGGAACACCGCTACACTCACGGGGAACACCACTACACTCGCGGGGAACACCCCTACACTCACGGGGAACACCCCTACACTCACGGGGAACACCCCTACACTCATGGGGAACACCGCTACACTCGCGGGGAACACCGCTACACTCGCGGGGAACACCGCTACACTCGCGGGGAACACCGCTACACTCGCGGGGAACACCGCTACACTCGCGGGGAACACCGCTACACTCACGGGGAACACCGCTACACTCGCGGGGAACACCGCTACACTTGCGGGGAACACCGCTTCATACTCGACATGTATTCAGTACTGTTTAAATCAGCGTGATTTCATGAGCGCTTTTTACAAACATATTACAAACATAAGATATGAATCTTTTTTCATCCCCAGGTGGAAATGGAGAAGAAGTTGATTGAGACTGAGTGTCAGACGCGTTCGGGCTGCGCAACACAGTGATGATGAGGAACGGGATGGATGATGATGATGAAGATGATGATGAAGAAGATGAAGATGTTGAGGAACGGGACTGATTTCACCTGGTCTGATGATGATGGTGATGATGATGATGATGATGATGGTGGGGTTGCTCATTACACACAGAAGAGAGAATCGAACCTCAGGCTTAGGGATGAAGATTACTCTGACCGCAGAAGAGTTCGGCAAGATATAGTGTTAGTTTTACTGGCATTTTTCATTAAGAATTTACATCTGGTACCATTAGGTAAACAAATGTTTATTAACCATGAGAATAAATATATATATATTTTTTTAATATTTTAATATCTATAATGGTCTTATTCAGCAAGTTATAGTATTACTGCACTTTACAATTCTCACATTTATATACAGTATATGTGGTGTGTGTGTGCGTGTGCGTGTGTGTGTGTGTGTGTGTGTGTGTGTGTGTGTGTGTGTGTGTGTGTGTGTGTGTGTGTGTGTGTGTGTGTGTGTGTGTGTGTGTGTGTGTGTGTGCGTGTGACAAAACAACATGGGACCACAGATACATACAGATAATATGCATTTGTCTGACAAATGTTTGCAAAGACATACATTTTACTCATAAATAAAAACGCTGAAACTTCCTCATCTGTGTGCCTGCAAGAAACTTTGGCAAAAGTAAAAACTTTAGTAAAATGTGCATATGAAAGGCTAAGGGATTATTTTTACTTGCAAAAGTCACTTTAGGGCCTCTGTAGTTTGTGTCCTAAACTGGTTATTACCATACGTCTATGTATTTACTGTTATTTATGTGGTTTAATAAAATTATATTGTCTCAAGAAAAGTGTGGATAATAAAGAAAGAGTTTCTGTACTGCTAAATGATGAGGAAACGAGTGTTCTGCGCTGTCATTTCTTTTCTCAGTTCATCCCTGTTATATATTCAGCCTAATGTTTCCATTCTCTCCATCATCTGTATACTCCATAATCTCTCTCTCACACACACACACACACACAAAGTACTATGGTACTCCAGCATTTTTAAACATATGTCAAGTCATCTTCATTTATATAGCGCTGTTAACAATATAGATTGTTCCAAAGCAGCTTTACAGTGATAATAGGAAATTACAGTAGTAGAGATTGTTGCTCTAGAATAAAGTTATTGTTCAGCTAAAGTTAGTTTTAATTGATTCACTTCCGTCGCAACGATCATTAGTGATTAACTTTCGCTAACACGACACGGTTCTAACAGAAAACTCTTAAGTTCTCTCTACGCAAACTTTAAAAACGCGAGCCTGTGAGAACGCTGACGGCGCGCACATGCGCATTAAGAGTTAATTCTATAGGCATGCGTGTTTGAATATGTGCGCAGCAGGGGCGTAGAATTTAGTAGGGACGCTAGGGACGTGTCCCTACCAATATCCAGTGACACTGATATATCCCTAGCAATAATTTCGATCAAAACTTAAAATATATTTATATATTGATGTCCCCGTCCCCACCAATGTCAAAATCAAACCTACGCCACTGGTGCGCAGGCATGTAGTCCTTCCCTAAAAACCAACCCTCAACAAACTACTTGTCTGGCCTTAAAATTTATAATACAGAATTGTATCGCTTCGGCGTAGCCACGCGAACCGGAATTATCCCGACAACGATTGTGTCATGTTTGGCACCTGAAGGAGTAGGGGTTCAATCTTCAGCTGGCTGGCAGGAGCGTTGCCTGACACTCTCGCTACAAGGAAATAAATTGTTTTCTTATTATGAATATAATGTCACTCATCTATTCTTCTTTGCAACTGGACACTGTGTGTGTGTTGAATAATAGTTTAAGTGCGACAAGCAATGGCCTATATAGATTCTTGTTTTTTATTTGTAAATATATATTTTTTTCTTGGGTTTTATTTGTAAATAGTCTTTGTAAATTTGAAAATAGTGATACAGTCTGTGCTAAGTGATTTTACCGTTAAAGTTTACATTCTTTTATTGAATTATTAAAAAGCTTTCTTTTATCAAATTATTTGAAAGCATCTCTATTTTGTCCTGGTGTCAGAAAATGGTCAAGGCAATGACAAAGATTCATGTTATTGGGATTAATTCACGTTTTTTTACGGTACTAGACCGGGACGATTTTAATCCTTGTGAAAACGTAGCCTATAAAAACGTGAATTAATCCCAATAACATGAATCTTTGTCATTGCCTTGACCATTTTCTGACACCAGGACAAAATAGAGATGCTTTTTAATAATTCAATAAAAGAATGTAAACTTTAACGGTAAAATCACTTAGCACAGACTGTATCACTATTTTCGAATTTACAAAGACTATTTACAAATAAAACCCAAGAAAAAAATTATTTACAAATAAAAACAAAGAAAAAATATATATTTACAAATAAAAAACAAGAATCTATAGCCTATAGGCCATTGCTTGTCGCACTTAAACTATTATTCAACACACACACAGTGTGCAGTTGCAAAGAAGAATAGATGCGTGACATTATATTCATAATAAGAAAACAATTTATTTCCTTGTAGCGAGAGTGTCAGGCAACGCGTTATACTCGCACTATGAGCCGCGACTGACTGGATGAGCGTCGAGCAAGCGTCTGTAAGCTGCCAGTCGGATCACGGCCATTTGACTGGTTATATTGTGATAACAGTCCCCAAAACATCAATCATACCAAAGAACATAATCATATCAACAGATTCCTAATAAATGAGCTAGAAAGAGAGGAACACAAAACACAAAAAACTCAAAAATCAATGGTTTCTGAAACTTGCCAAAGGCAGACTGCCAGACAGCTGAAGATTGAACCCCTACTGACCTGAAGTATGTGATCTTTTTCTTCTCTCATCTCTCCATCTTTTCTCTCTTCTCCCCTTCCTTTCTTCTCTTCTCTTCTCTTCTCTTCTCTTCTCTTCTCTTCTCTTCTCGACAGCTTCCACTCAGTCCACATCACTCTCTGACTCTCTGTAAACTGTCACCTCGTTTCTTATAGGCTATTAATTGAATATGATTTTACTGTACTCTTGACATTAATATTTATGTACCGTCTATATAACAGTGATGGTAAATTCACAACAATACCATAATACTGAATAATTATATCAATAGAATATATTTTTTATGTGATTGAAGTGTTTTTAAATCTGATTTTCAGACAGTTCAAACTTTAGAACGTGAAACTGCACTGGCTGTGGGCGGAGCTTGACGTCCAGGCCTCCAGAAGGTCCAATCACAGCCCGTCCCTGACCCTGATCAGGTCAAGCTCCACCCACTGGCTCTGCATTCAGCAGCACTTTTATATTATATTTCAGGTCAGTCTTTATGGAAGAATTATTTTTCCTGTCTGGTGTCTTCAATGTCACAGATTGTGCCATAATGTGTGATCAGTGACATGATGGTGTGCGACTGGCTCTAACCCTCCTGACTGACACCAGAGGAGAACCAGAACTCATGAAAGCACAATGTGATAATACATTTTTATTTATTAAGGAAACAATTGAAAGTTACATCAGACTGAAACTGACGGTTGGAACAAGATTACAAAAATACATGATGTAACCTCCCAAATAACAGTAACGCGTTTTGGCAGTGACGTCACTGCGCGTGGAAGACGCTCGAGTTTCCCTCATTTCATGTGTTTCAGTATAATCATATTTTCTTCACCTCGTTGCGTGATCTTTTAGGATTTATACATCAGTGTCTTACTTATGGTCCATTGTAAAATTTAACCAAGAAGTGGGGTTAATAAGCTCTTAATTGGCGACCAGTGGTGCTGGAGTGAGTGAGTGTGTGTACCGGTGCCAATACTAACCAACGAGTGAAGGAGACATGCTCTCTAACGCCAACATTTTGGTGAGTAAATAACATTTTATTTACTATTTCCTTATTTAAGGCTATAGTATAAAAAATATCAATAACAAAACATTGGGAGTTGGGGTACTCGAGAGTCCAGCTCGCTGTGGGATATCGGGACAGTTGAGGAATTATTGGCCAGATCGGGTCAACACTGCGTCACGAAATTCAATCATTCGCAGGTGTTTTTAAGTCTTGCCTGTTTACATTCAATTCGATGCAAGCTGAGAGTTTCTGTGCGACACAACGATCAGTCAGACCGCAAATGCTGAATTTATGTCTCTTTCGTGTCTTATTGTGCTTCTGCATTCTTAAAAACACACAGTGCTTAAAAACACACAGCTGTCTGTGTCTTAAGTGAAGGTAAACTCGGACTCGTCAGTATATTGGGTCTGTGCGTTCTCTTAAAGTGACAGTCTGTCATTCATGAGAATCAAACAACAACAGAGAGAATTGACTCAACGTTCTTGACTGAGTAATGTTAATAATAATAATTCATATTTAATGCATACAGCGAAGATTATGCAGTTTCATTTGTTACATTTATTACTTTATTAAATGTCTGTAGTTTCCATAGTAGCCTGTAAAATAGACCTACATGAAAAACGGTTTATTTCATTGGTATTTTTTATTAATAATAATATATTTATTTGTCCATTTGCTTGTAATAGATTGTTAGACTGTTTACCTGTGTTCCGTAAGCTTGAGAACTTTTACTTGCATTAGTTAGGCTAGTATTAGTTCTTGCTGTTGAAATGAAATTATAAAAAACAACAACGTGGTGGCAGCTTCTCCTTTCAAAGAAAAATAATGTTTCTAACACATTGAAGCTACATTGGGCAATTCAAAAACAACAACAAAAAATCCTTAGGGTTTTATGTGTTTAAAATGTTTTTATTTGGAAATCCTAATTTATAATAAAATCCAAATCCAATAACTGATTCCTCATTATAAACATAAAGGCAACATAAAATAAATAAGTAAATACAAATAAATAAAATAAAATAAAATAAAAAAGATAAAAAGAACAGTTCCCATTACCAGTAAGAGTTATACAATAGAGAAATCAAGTGACTAACCCCACATCCAAGCCCTAAAAGTTCATCAAACTTAGCAGAAGAAGCCTCATCCAGACAAGGAAAATACTTTCTTAGTCCCTGAGCTGCAAATATCGGGAAAATTTGTTTTAGGCAAACCGTATTTTGCCTGCAGCTGACTAAAGGAGACAAAGAACCATCAATGAATATTCCCCAATATTCCCAATACCCACGTCTCTCCACTTTGTCAAAGCAGAATCCATTGTAGAAGGAATAAATGATGGATTCCCTCCAATTGATAATGCTGGGTACACACCAAAAGATAATCGGGCTGATTTTGGGCCGATTTCTATGGAGGGATTATTGGGTCAGATTGAAAACTAAAAGTCTAAGTTTGAAACTAAAAGTCTAAGTCGAAAATGAATTTGGTATTTAGGATTGGGCATTTGGTATTTAGGATTGGGCATTTGGTATTTAGGATTGGGCATTTGGTCATTTAGCCATTTAGGATTTAGGATTGGGCATTTAGGGATTTAGGATTGGGAATTTAATCATTTAGCCATTTAGGATTGGGCATTTGAGGATTGAGGAGTGTATGCAAATAAGGAGGCGTGGCCCAAATACTGGAGGCTGGGTTTGAAATGGCTGGTGCAGATGCACCTTATGGACAGCAGAGGGAGCTCCAGTCAGTCCAGTGCTAAGGAGCACACTGTAATGAAACCAAACAGAGCGAGTGAGCAGGTCTGGAGCGAGGACTGTACTTTATAATGTGATAACTTCAACTTAATGACAGCGTTGTATAGGGGTACTGGAACGGTACATGTATTCCTATTGAACCGAAACGGTAGCCTACGGGCGTCACGGTTCGGTGCACGAATTTACACGGAGAATACACGGTATAAAATACCTCTAAATAGCGATACATTTCGCTCTATTCGCGTTTGGTGTGAACGCAGCATAATAAACAGGCTGCGACGTCAAGGTTGCAATGCTGGAGTGTGTGTGTGCGCGCGAGAGAGAGAGGGGGAGGCGTGGGCGCGAACGAACTAGGTGTGTGTGTGTGTGTGTGAGAGAGAGAGAGAGAGTGTGTGTGTGTGTGTGTGTGTGTGTGATTTTGGTTGGGTGACAGTTGTAGGTTACAGTTTGACAAGATTTTAGAGTGTGACAAAAGCACAATGTTGTATTTTATTGCGAGTGTACACAAATATACACACTTTGCAGTTTGAACTTTGCAGCACACACTCAAACATTGCAATCTTGACGTCGCAGCCTGTTTATTATGCTGCGTTCACACCAAACGCGAATAGAGCGAAATGTATCGCTATTTAGAGGTATTTTATACCGTGTATTCTCCGTGTAAATTCGTGCACCGAACCGTGACGCCCGTAGGCTACCGGTTCGGTTCAATAGGAATACATGTACCGTTCCAGTACCCCTATACAACGCTGTCATTAAGTTGAAGTTATCACATTATAAAGTACAGTCCTCGCTCCAGACCAGGGGGCTGTTCCATAAATGAAGCTTAGAAAAGCGGGGATTAAACTCCAAAACCGGACTTGAATGAGCCTAACAAATAAGTTGGGGCTAAAGTGGTTCCATAAAAGGTAATTGAAGTTCACGCAATCTCACTAATTTGATCCAGGTTTATCTAGTCTAGATAATTGCGTGTGCACGCGTTTCTGAAGCAGCCCTAGAGGTCGATCGTGGATCAAATCGATCCACCATCAAACAGCGTATATTTTGTGCTGTTTTATGCGTTTGTGACATGTTTTTTTTTCCCCTCAGTGCACAAATTACATTTTACAGTTATATTCTCCATCTGTAAATGTTAGAAAGTCGTGCAAATGTATCCATTTTGCTGCTAATCTTCATATTGAACGAGCGCTGCTGCGCGCATGCGCGCCAAATAGGAGCGCAATAATTCTGATTAAAAAATATACATTTTGCTTGGAAAATTAATATGCGATATTTTATAACACTAGAAATATCTTCTAATTATAATAATTTCTCTTTAGGATGTTGGATAAGTTGCAGTGAACTTCTAGGTCATTACACTCATATATTTTATACTTCTAATAAAAAAAAGAAATTGAACAGAAGTAGCCTAATTCAGGGAAGATTTTTTTTAAAGAAACTAAATAAATAAAGATACAAAATATAGTTTTGGGTATAGGACCTATGCTACTTTATAAAGATGATATATACTTATTTAGAATGCTGAGAATTACAGCTTTTAATGCAATCTTTTTTTTTGAGAAAGCAAGAATCCCCAGTTTTAAATGAGTGGTTAGATTTAGTTTCTAAAGTACATTATGGAGAGGATAACATTAAATTAAGAACAAATGTATACATTTTGAAAAGATATGTGCAACTCTAAAATCAAAGAATATTCCATAAAATAAAGGAATATATATTGGCCTACATTAACTACATTTTTATGTAACCTTCCCTTTTATTTCTAGTTATTTGTTATTTTATTTATTTACTTATTTAATATTGAATATTTGATATTTAAATAATATTACTTGAATAACTTTTAGGAATTATGTGTCATTCATTATAAGAGTTTGATATATGTGAATGTTATATTTTTATTAATATTTATTTATTGTTTTATTTATATGTATGTGTTGGTATTATCACAAAAGAAAAAAAAGTAGAAGGAAAAATAAGGAATATTTATTGGGGGAAAATATGATGTCTTTAAAGGAACTGTCCATTTGTATAATTGTGTTAAATGTGTTTGAAGGGGCGCTAGAGAGCAGGCCATGGAGTAAGCCACGTTTTGGGAAGCTCTGCTGAATTTTATTTTAAAAACTTTATTTTTAGCGCATTACATTCTTCAAATAGGTCTAAATTAGATATCCAAAGTTAAACATTAGATAGTCTGCAACTCTGTTTCATTTTATTTTGAGCAAACTCTGTCAATGGCGAAAAATCTTCGACAATTTACCTATACGGGAAGAAACACGGCTAACAGCAAACAAGCTAGCATGACTGATGCTAAGACTGAACTTCTTACCTCGATGAAGGAAGACATATCTACATTACTCAGGTCAGAACTGAAAGACATCCTTGCAAGTGAATTTGAGGCCGTTAAAAGTGAAATACAGTCTGTCAAAACTGAGGTTGTCAATAGTATCTCATTGCTTCGCTCTGACCTGGACTCGGTGAAAACTACAGTCGCTGACATGGAACACAGTCTGACCACATGTTCGGATGATGTAGCGTGTCTTCAGACTACAGTTAGCAAACTTCAAGTAGAAGTCTCAGATCTACAGAATAAGTGTCTCGATATGGAAGGGAGAATGAGGAGGTCGAATATCCGAATATTGAATGTGCCGGAGGATGCTGGGTCAGGTTCGCCATCTTTTGTCACCAAGCTGCTTAAAGAAGTGTTTGCCATGGATAAAGATGTGATGGTAGACAGATCGCACCGAACTCCTCAACTGGAGAAAGCTAAGGGGAAGCCTCGAGCCATTATCGCGAAGCTACACTATCACCAGGACTGCGTGGAGGTGCTACGCCGTGCGAGGCAAGCGGGTGGCGCTTTGAAATACGGAGAACTGTCCATCTCAATATTTCCAGATTATCCCCCCACCGTGGCACGCGCAAGATCTGCATTCAACGAAGTTAAACAACTACTGAAAGACCGGTCAGATGTTCGCTATGGAGTCATTCACCCGGCGAAGTTTCGTATCACTTACAACGGCATTAGGAAGGACTTTCTTGATCCGAAACAAGCACTGTTATACATCCAGTCGAACATCGTCGATGGAGGGAGACCCACCTCTAATGATGACTGAGAATTTGCAGAATAAAGGCCTAGCGTGGCACACTTCATTGTACACATGTATATTGATGTTCTGGTGAGTGAAAGTAGCCATTGAATAACAATTACAAGCAGCTTTTAAATTATAATTTTTTTATTTTTATTTTTTCTCAAGAATGCAGGCTATCAGC